GGGACGCCGCTCCGGCCCTGCCCGCCCCGCGCTCCCCGCCGCGGCAGCCGTCCCTCCCGGCGCCTCCGGCCCTGCCGGGACCGCAAACCTCCTCTACTCGGCTACCTGGGGACGTCGGCAGCGCACGGCGATACCGAGCAGTGCCGGTCCCTCAGGTCCCTGTCCCAGGGGCGCTGAGCAGCGCTAGGCAACACCCGACCAGCAGGTTGCTTTCCCAAAGGCACTGAGCGGCATTAAGCAATATATTTCCTCTTCTATAAGAGGAAACTGCCTCAAGCTGTGCCAAAGGAGGTTTGGATTAGATATTAGGGACAATTTCTTCCCCAGTCAAGCGCTGCAGTCACCATCCCTGGGGGGATTTAAAACGCTTGGAGATGTGGTACTTGGGGACAAGGGTTAGTGGTGGGCTTGGCAGTGCAGGGGGGATGGTTGAACTTGATGGTTTCAGCTTTTCCAAATCAGAATTCTGTGATTCTGTAATGTTGGACAGCACTGGCCACAGGCAGGTCCCTGACAGAGAGTGAGTCTCTGCCCTCAAGCAGGTCTCAACCACATGGGTGAGCCCCCAGCTTGAACCTGCAGATCTCCTGCCCTGGGTTCTCCACTGGCTGGGGGCTGGCAGAGAAATCCCCACTCGTTCTTGCTTGCAAGCACCCAGGATGGCATTGCTGGGTGGGCATCCCTGGGTGGATATTGCTGGGTGGGCATCCCTGGGTGGACATCCCTGAGTGGACATCGGTGGGTGGACATTGCTGGGTAGCCCTTCCAGCCCACAGAGAGGCGGAGGAATGTGCCTGGGGGGGGGGGATGCTGCCTGCTGTGGCCCGTCCCCTCGCTGCGATGTCCCCTGTCTAGTTGGGTTGCTACAGGGCATGGATTTCCCTGGTCCAACCTGCTGCTCAAAGGTGGCCAGTGAGATTCACAAAGAAACTTTCTCCTGGTGCATCTGGTGGGGACGCCTTATCCTGACCTCCTGGCTGGCAGGAGAGGGTCCTGGGAGAGTCCAACACAGTGTCTCCTACAAATCTCTCTTGCTTCTCTTTGCTGGAGCTGCTGGTGATCCTGCACTGGGCACTGACACAGGCTGCATGTCTTTATTTCCTTCCAGGAAGGCGAGGTGCTGTCAGCGTTCCGAAGGCAGCGTTCCAGCTCTGTGCCCTCGTACCGATATTTGTGGCGTGAATATGAAACAAGCCTTGCTTTGCCTTCTGCTGAGACTCCTCAGCCACAGGATTGAATTCTGTGAGCTCTGAATAGCCGGGCTTTGTCCTCGAGTGCACATTGTGCAGGATACCAATTCCAGCGCTAATGGAGATGTATTTGCTGATACAAAGCAATTTGCTCTGTGGATCCTTTCCCTGCAAATGGGTTCTACATCACGCTCAGAGCTGTGAGCTCCCATGCTGTGCATGCAAGGAGATACCTTCCTTCCTCTGGAGACACCCAGCCCAGCTTCCTGGGATGGTTCAAACCACGCTGATTCCTGCTTTGGATCGTGGAACTGCAGATTAATTAAGGTTGAAAAAGCCCTCCAAGACCACCAAGTCCAATCGTTCCCCCAGCACTGCCAAGCCCACCACTAAATCACGTCCCCAAGGGCCACATCTACATATCTGTTTAATCCCTCCTGGTCCTGCCATGCCCATAGAAATATCCATGAGAAAGTTCAATTTCAGCAATTTCCGGGGGGGGCGGTTTCCCTCTCTGATTTTTCCACCATTTTCCCTCTCAAATATGAGGACTCTTTCAGGGAGGGAAGAAAACGGCGAAACAGAGAAAAGCTTTTCCATTTTCATTGACATTTATCCTGGGAACAGATAAAGAACAGAAAAAAACACACAGAGGAACCCGAAGCCTTGTTTTTATTGCAAGGTCGGTACAAGCTGTTCTCAAAGAAAAAAAAAAAAAAAAAGGAAAGAAATTTACAGTGATCTGGAAAATTATTCCTCACATCCACAGGTCCAGCAGCTTTGACCGTGGTGTGGGCAGAGCAGGGAGAAACCCCCCACATGTATTTTGGGGTGGGGATGGGTGTCCCAGGGAGCTGTTTGGGGGTTGTCAGGGTGCAGCATTCCCATTGCATCCCCACACCAGGGAGACGCTGTCACCAGTGCCCACCCATCCTGTGCCAGAGCCATCCCGGTTTGGATGCTAGCTGGAAAGGTGCTGGAGCTCTGCACCCACAGTCAAGGCCCTGGGACTGCCCATGCTGGCAGGGCCAGGATCTAGCTCTGGGATGGAGCTCCTGAACACCTATGAGAGACTGAAATGGTTAATTAACATTTTGACTTTGACGCATGGTCTCATTTGCACCTTAATTCAGGCAGAGGCATCTATCTAATAATTTTAATAACCGGATCATAACAACACCCCAGGAAACAGCTTGGGTAGCCTGAGAGGGCAAGAGCTTTCCCAGGGTTTGGAAATGGGGTTGAGAGAGGAAAAGGGAAAAAAGGGGAAAGGGAAGGAGGGTGAAAGGGAAAGAAGGGGAAGGGGAGAGGAAAGGGGGAAGAAGGGGAAGGGGAAATGGTAAGAGAGAAGGGGAAATGGTAAGAGAGAAAGGGAAGGATGGGAAGTGTAAGGATGGGGAAGGGGAAGTGGAGGTGGAAGGGTGACAGACCTGGGTCAGCCAGCACACCACTAAAGGCTGGTCCCAGCAGCCCCCCGGCCCCCCCCCCTGCAGCCCCCGGGACTGACAGGGCAGCAGGAGGGCGGCTGGTGCCAGCTCCTGCAGCCCCGTCCAGCGCTTGTCACCGAGCCTGCCCTCCGGCCTCTCCCGGCGTCCCCTGCCTGCTCACATCTGTCAGCCGGCCGCGGGAGGGGACAGGGACCCGCCGGCTCCACCGCGCTCAGGACGTCACACGGGTGACCTTGCCCGGTGCCGAGCCAGGGGGATGGGGCGCTCACGGCCAGTGCTGGGCCTGGGGGGACCCTCTGTCCCCTCCTTCCAACCCCCGTTCTCACTGCCCCTCAAACGCTTCCCACCTCCCACAGTCCGATACATCCCCGAGACCAAAGTCTGGAGCAACGTCCCCGCGGTGCCACTGCCCAGGTGGCAGCATCCGTCCCTTGGGGGACAGCCCTGCTCTCCACCGTGCTCCAGGGCTTCTTGGGGTGGGGAAAAGCAGGGATGGGATTTCCAGGGGTGATGGGAGGGACTCGGTGCTCCTCTGGGGCTGCAGAAGTGACTTGGAGCATCTCCCCCCTCCCGTCCCAGGTGGGGGGTCAGCTCTGCTCTCTCACCTGCAAACGAGCTCTCAGATATTTCTTCCCAGCAGGACAAGGCAGTGAATTCCCTGTGGAAGCAATCTCCTGGAGTCCTGCAGTTTAGTGACCACAGGCCTTGGAGCAGAGACATGGACACGCCACGTGTCCTGTGGGCCAAGCGCCCATGCCCAGCCCAGCCCTGCACCCAGAGGCACCAAACCTGGAGTCACACAGCCCAGAAAACCGGGGCACCCCCCACTAAAGCAATACAGTCCTTCCCCAGAAGGCCAGAGATGTTGGTTGGGATAACCCCACCCTCTGGTCATCCCATCACAGCCGTGCCAGCACTCAGGGGGGGCTCTGCGAGGGCATCCCCTTCCCAGCATGCCTCCACTGCCACCCTCCAGCCCCTCGGGCACCCCCCCAGGTGGGTACCAACCCTCGGGGTCTGGCGCTTGGGGGCAGCCCCCCACAGCAGGGCTGAGGGCGATGGGGTTCGCCCAACACCCGCAGCATCAGGCACGGGTGCGGTACAAAGGTTCGTCCCCAGGGGGGGACCACGGGGACACGCGGTGTGGCACATGGGGCTGGCACGCTGCCGCCCCGGCTGCCGGCTGCCAGGTAGCCATGGAAACCTCCCGGCAGGATGCTGTGCCGATAAATAGCCAATTTGAAGTGATTCTCCTCAAAGAGCTTTTTTTTTTCCCCTGTATTTTTTGATATGTAAAGTCCCAGCCATTTTTTAGGTTTACCTTTACGTTTTTATTATTTTCCCTTTGTTTTATTGGTTTCCCTTATTTCATTTTTTTTTTTATTTTTTTCTTTATTTTGTTATTTTTCCTTTGACTCAAGGCCTGAGCCCTATGAACACTCAAGACTGGGACTTGCAGCCTTCCTTGTCGTCAATGAGCCGAAGCTCGTTGTTGTTCCAGTGGCAGCACACACACAGGTGGGGTGACATCGTTCAGGGGGTGCAGGGCCACGTGTGCATGGAGCTGCTGCTCACCTGGGCACGTATTTGGGTGGGATAAACACACGTGTGTGCACCTGAGTGCCCGTGTGAGTGTGTTTGGATGTGTGGCTCTGCGTGGAGCTGCAGATCCAGGTGCGCTGTGTTGGTGCAGGCAGGCTCATGCACACGTGTGTGTCACAGGAGTCACAGCCCAGCATGGGCTCCTCAGGAGCCTCCCAGGGGTGGAACAAGAGGAAATGAAGATTTTGGA